GTTGCAGCTCTCTCTGTTGTCTGCTCTGTGTGGCAGGATGAAGCAGGTGACTCTCAGATCTCCGTCACACTCTTCCAGCATCTCGTTGAGTTTCTCGCAGCTGCTGATGATGCTGTAGAAGTGAGTGGGGATGAAGACGGAGCCCAGTGTGTGCCTGCAACACACCGCAGAAGAGATGATCACATACACACTTCAGAAACACACAACATGTAATCATTTCAAATTACTCAAGAATAATATAAAATATTATTCAATTATATTTAATTAATTGTAATTAATTAAATATATAATAAAATATTAATTTACTATTTATTAAAAATAAATTAAATAACATTAATAACAGAAATAATTAAATATTTAAAAATATACATATTTATATATAATGCATGTATATAACTAACTATAAAAATTTGATTTATATTTAAAATAAATAAATTTAACAAGATAAAATAAGAATTTTATATTAATAACAATTAATTTTACATAATAATTTAAACATGTTAATTGAGTTTCTCACTCTTTGATCTTCTCTTCTGTGTCGTTGCGTCTCTCTCTGTGTATGTGTGTGCGAGTATATGTGTATCTCTGCGTGTGTGTGTGTGTTACTGACGTTGCAGCTCTCTCTGTTGTCTGCTCTGTGTGGCAGGATGAAGCAGGTGACTCTCAGATCTCCGTCACACTCTTCCAGCATCTCGTTGAGTTTCTCGCAGCTGCTGATGATGCTGTAGAAGTGAGTGGGGATGAAGACGGAGCCCAGTGTGTGCCTGCAACACACCGCAGAAGAGATGATCACATACACACTTCAGAAACACACAACATGTAATCATTTCAAATTACTCAAGAATAATATAAAATATTATTCAATTATATTTAATTAATTGTAATTAATTAAATATATAATAAAATATTAATTTACTATTTATTAAAAATAAATTAAATAACATTAATAACAGAAATAATTAAATATTTAAAAATATACATATTTATATATAATGCATGTATATAACTAACTATAAAAATTTGATTTATATTTAAAATAAATAAATTTAACAAGATAAAATAAGAATTTTATATTAATAACAATTAATTTTACATAATAATTTAAACATGTTAATTGAGTTTCTCACTCTTTGATCTTCTCTTCTGTGTCTCTCAGTCCATCGTGGTCGTGGTCAAATATGGGTCCCATGATCACATTTATGCCATTATTCTCTTGACTGTATCTCCTGAGGACATCCCTCTGCAGGAAACTCCACACCCCTATACACACACACACACACACACACACACACACACACACACACACACACACACACACACAAGTTTATTTAGTCTCATTTCTTTCTCAACATGTTTATTCTTAGGTGTGATGTTTCGTGTTTTCCGTCTCATGTTGCTCTGTGTGAACTGCAGCAGTGAATGGAGCTAAAATACATATATTTTCTCACTCACTCTTGAAAGCGGGATACATGGGAACGGTGTTTGTGATGAGTGAAGCCTCATATCTTGATTCAGCCGTAATGGAGAAATCTAGAGATCAACAGTCATTCAACACGTGCATCAGATTTACCTGGAAATAATCTTGAGCCAAGACACTACAGGCAAACCATTGCTTTTTTATGCACTGGTCAATTTTGCTTCCATATCATGTCTCTTTTTTCAGACTAGTGGATAGAAAACATCCAAAACCCACATTGAAGTGTTTATTTTATTGCTCTTTATCTATTTGCATCTGTAGATTCAATTCCATTCCTCTCTATATTCTGATGGTTTGTTCATATTTAATTCACACTGATTTGTACAACATTTTACTCCTAAAAACATGGTGAAAATGTGTTTGTTTTCTGTCTGTTGACAGTATTTTCTGATTTATGGGAGTGATAAAAAAGGAAATCCAGAATATCCTCTGAAAAAACCTTTAACTCTAATATGACAACAAAATCAAATGAGAATTATGAACCAATGCTCAAATTTCTGTATGCAATCTAGTGCATATTTGCCTTTTTGCATGTTTAAAAACAACATTTCATCAAACTTTGATAAAAAAACCCCAATAGTCTTTATAATTAATCAGCTGAAGTATGGTGAGATCTCTTTTGAAATCAGGCATCACGGAGGCTCATTTTTGAATTCAGTGAAATATCATCTTGATTTCAGATCAGCAGATGTGTGTGTGACTGACCCGGTGGGTAGAGGAAAGCGTGTGTGACGTCTGGCTCCTGGCTGTACGAGTTACATGTGTGTGTGTGATCGAGTCGAGGGTCTGCTCTCACACACTCGCTAGACGACACGGCTGGAACCTCCACCTGCGCGCACACAGACACACACGCACACACACACACACACACACACACACACACACACATGATGAGTATCACGCTGCGGCTCAGAGGAACACATCTGCTTGTTATCGGTCTGCGCACCTGTGCTGTAAGTGTGAACGCGCTCCACAGTGGCATGTTGATGATGTGACTGTATCCGCTGCAGTAATCCGAGTGACACAGCTGTGTGTAAGACGTCTGGAAGAGAGCGGCTGGACGGCCGAACGGCAGGTGTGTGACATCTGCACAAACACACACACACACGATCAAAAATATCCCATGCTCAAGAGATTCACTCAACAACAACAACAACAACGTTTATTTATAGAGCACATTTAAACACAACCGAGGTTGACCAAAGTGCTTTACAAAGAATAAAACACAAATGAAATAAAAATAAAATGAGAAAATCAACAAACAAATAAAATCAACAGAATACCACAGGAAACATACGAAGGAGTGTTATAAGCCAGGGTAAAAAAAATATGTCTTAAGATAGGATTAAAAAATACTAATAGAAGGGGCACGTCTAATAAAAGGAAAAGAGACAAATACATAGAAAACAACACAGGGCCCAGGATTGAACCTTGCGGAACACCACGACCAAGAGGAATGTTAGAAGAAGAGTAATGCACTAATTGAACATTAAAACACCTATTTGACAAATAAGAGCAAAACCACTATAAAACCAAACCACCAAGCCCTACACAAGACTGCAGGCGTGACAGAAGAATGTTGTGGTCAACTAAATCAAATGCAGCACTTATGTCTAAGAGGACAAGAGCCATGGGTTTCCCTGAATCTGTCGTGAGAAATGTCATTTAAGACTCTTCAGTGCTATGTAAAGCTTTAAAACCTGATTGAAAGAATTATCTGTCAAGAAGGACTGTAGTTGAGCCAGTACAACTTTCTCCATTTCTCCTCTTGTCTTACTTACTGCCCTATCTAGGTGTGTAATAAACCTGGCATTGTGTATTTCAACTAGTGTTGGCTCTTTGATGAGCTGCTTTTGTAAGTCAATTTTAGATAAAACTATCTTCTAAATGCACAAATCTAAAAAATCTGTAAAAATGAATTATTATTGAGACTGAGACTTGAGATTGAGACTTGTTGAGACTTTATCAGACCTCTTGAAATCCTGAGATGTACTTATTATCCCGCTAAGATTGTTCTGTAATATTGTATTGTCAGTCTTTTTTTTGTATTTTATGTACATGGCCAGATCTCAGGCTTTGCTGTAAATAGTTATAAATCTAAAATGTTTAATAAATAAAGAATATATATAAAAAAAATATCAATTACTGAGCAACTGCACTGAAAAATGAGTGTGGAAAACGGTCTCCTTTTACCCTGATTGACTGCAGTATTCTTATAATAATGATTTATAATTTAAGCTGTTAAGTTTGATTTTCTGGAAAAGGATACAACATGCCCATAAACAGAAATAGAATTTTGCACAGAATTTAAACTAGTCATCTAACTAGCTGCTTTTAACATCTATAGTTGTAAAAGGCACTTATTGGTGTCCTGTAGGGAACCACAGACTGTCAAAAGAAAGAAATCTCAAACTGCAGAGAATCTGTGATCAAAGTGGGAAAGTGACAGAAAGCCCGTACCAAAACAAGATCCGCAGAAATACAAGATTTAATGGCTCAGATCGTATGTTTTCTGATATACACTTTGCTGTGTTTTTCCTGATCACTGGTAACTAGAAACAGAGAGCATGTTCAGATCCACAGTCCTTAAATAACAATACAAAGAACTTAAATTATTTATATTTTAAATGCATTGCTACTATAATTACTTCTATCTATTCTTTGCATTTGTTGTGAGTTTAAAAGCCTTACTCTCTCCCTCTTCTCTCTATATAATTTTTAGTATTTTTAGTTGCGTTTTGGTCCTTTTTATTCATTTTTTTAATGTCCATATAGTTTTATAAACTTTTATTTATTAGTTTTATTTTATTTAGTACAAGGTAAACTAAACAAAGGCAACTATCTGAAATAAATGTTAAGCTTTTTTATTTTATTTTATTTCTGTTAACTTATTTTCTTTCAAGTAACAAAAACTTTTTTTTTGGGTTATAGTTTTAGTTAACTATAATAACCCCAACAGTGTTGGGGAAAGTTACTTTTAAAAGTAATGCATTACAATGTTGCGTTACTCCCTAAAAAAGTAACTAATTATGTTACTTAGTTACTTTTTATAGAAAGTAATGCATTACATTACTTTTGAGTTACTTTGCAAATCTGGGCAGGGCTTGCTTGTTTGTTTTTAATATTAAAAGTTCTTCTTTTACGAATGTAAAAGCCCTTTCACACCAAAAGTGAACTGAATGCACCTCAGGCTGAAGGAAATGTAAATTCACGTCTGTACAGTAGAGGGCGCAGCTCAAACTAATCACATGAAGAATATGACGCAGGAGAAGAAAGTTCAACACCATTCAGCAATAAAAAAAGGTGCCATTTTTGCTTATTATTACGGTTGAATTGGATCATTGAACGTCAGCAGCAAAGACATTGATTAATAAAATGGGATTAACTATATAAATGATATTTGTCTTATTTAACATATTTAATTATTGCAGGTTTGTATAATATTCCAAGTTTGTATTTGACTGTTTGTATTGATTTTGAGGAACACTGAATCTGTTTTTGAGTAAACACATGTTGATATTTAGTCTAGAACTACAGTAAGATCATGTTCACACACAACGCTCTGCACTTACTCCTGATTTCTGTCACCACGGCAACACCAGAACTCTCACTCAATACATGGAAACAAAGTAACTGCTGTTACTTATTTGAAAAAGTAACTCAGATATTCCCTTCTAAATTAAAAAGTAATACATTACTTTACTAGTTACTTGGGAACAGTAATCTGATTAATACGTTACCCCCAACACTGAACCCCAATACATATATATTTTTGGTTATATTATATTGACCTGATACTGAAGGATGTGAACATGAATGTGAAAGTGAAACGGATCTTAACTGTTCAACAGTCCGTCGGCAGCGGAAGGAAATCTCTGGGAACTTTCTTCAATGTTGTTCTGTGAATGAGAAGAGACTCAATCCACTGACCTGTAGAGAACACGCATGTGTGTGTGTGTGAGTGTTGCTGACCTCATCGTCACAGTTACAGCCCAGGTCATGGGTCACCTCAGAGGGCGGGGCTAAAGGCGTGGGTGATGTCACTTCCTCTGGCTGTGTGGGGGTGTAGTGGGGGCTCCTCAAGACGCTGTTTAGACTGCCGTGAGTCCCGTTATTAGGAGCCGGAGTCAAACCCAGCAGATCTACACACACACACACACACACACACACACACACGGACGCTGCATTAATCTGTCATGATTCTCATAATCTAAGAATACTAATAAACCCAGCGGGATCTTCTCACCACACATGACATTATACAGCTCAATGTTCTCAAAAACAGGCACTTCTGTCTTGAAATTGAAGCTCGGTCCAAATCCCAGAAAGATCGTCTGCGAGAAACAGGATAGGTTACTGTACTGATTAATTGATTGATTGATTGATTGATTGATAGACTGATTTACCTGCATGCTGCTGATCTTGTTGTCAAAGCCATGATCTCCAAAGAAGCCGCAGGTAGCCGGAGATCTGCTCTCACACACAACACACAACACACATCAAATCTTACTCTCAACTAAAATGGGTTTTTGTGAAGAAATCTTCAGAAGAACAACAGTGAGCTGCGGTCAGATGGGATGTTGTCAGGCCATATGTCCTGTCAGCTGTTATCCTGCGCTAGTAGCGTACGCTCTTCAATTGCACACACAAATACAGCGGCGCGTGCTGTAACCTGTATCATTTCATATTAAAGCACGAATGAAACTACAAGCATGCGTTAGATCCGCGTCACGTTCAGCAGCGGCAGCTCTTAAAGTAATAGCAGCCAAATAACCTAATAACCAGCTGCTGTGATGTCTGTTCATCAAAGAACAAAAGACAACAGAGGAAATCAATAACTTTTGTAGCTTTAAGGATTCATCTATATTTCATTTAGAATTCAGTGTTTTATAACTTTATTCTATTTCTGTATATCTCCTACTCGCTGAAGGGCACAGGTAGCTAAATATGACATTTATTATAATGGGTTTATGTGAAGATTATTTTAAGTTCACTAAAATGTGAAGTTATTTAAGTTATATAAGTCTAATAAATGTTAAAGTTGATAGATCTCAATTATACTGTAATGTTGAATGTCTATAGTCAATGGTTAACTATTAGGAAAAAAATAATTTCCTAGAGACATCAGCAGTATTGGTATCAGTGATACTTGCATTCAGTCATAAAAAAAAGATGCCATTAAAAATATACTGTCTTTATGTTGTTTCTACATTAATTTGAAGATTGAATGTGAAATTATTGCAATGTAAAAATATAAAATAAAAATAAGAACTTAATTTATCGCGATTAATTTCATATATACACACACACACACACACACACATATATGAAATTAATCG